GCTGCATTCATTGCCTGCCATCCATTGTCTGCCACATTCAYGCCACAGGTGCTGCGGTGCAGTGGGATTTTTCCAGCATTGCTCAACAACCGGGTGTGCTGTTAGTTTTTAGGGAGGAGATTGTTTAGCCCCTCAGACCCCAGCGGGCAGCCTCGGAGGCAGCTGCTGCAACCCTTTGGGTTGTGTGCCCCAAGGCAAGGGTGTGCAGCCCATGCCACAGCCAAAGGGCCACCTGGGATGTGCACACAAATCTCCTTATAATGGAGGGAGCCTTCAGTTGCACTGGGGAAGGCCAAGGATGGGGAGTGCATTCTCAAGTTTGGAGCAGCATCCAGCCCAACACACGGAGCTCCCCGCTCCTGGTCCCACAGCTGGTCTGTCTCACTCTGAGGTCTTGTTGAAGCTGTTACAAAAGCAATCAGCTGCACAACCTGTGACAGAAACACGGGGCTGCCAACCCACACAGCCTCCCCTGCTTCCCTCTCTAGAGCTGGGGCTGCAGATGGTTGTGCAAAGCCAGCCTGTACATGTGGGTGTCTGTGCATGGTTTATTCCATCCTAGGCTTTTTTTTGTTTGTTTTTTTGGATGTTTATGCAGTGACCTCCAGTGTTTATTCTTAGCTTGTATAACAACAATACAGCTGTTTACTAGGCTGCTCCCAAATATTTGACCTACAAAATGATCAGTCCGTTTGGAGACCAAGCTGAATTCAGCCAAGTCATAAAATGCTGCCTCAAGTTACTTCTTTCAACACTTAAAACCCAAACCCATGGCTATGTCAGGTCCAAGCCTTTCTCTAAAGGGTAACCCCATTGGCCTGTATTTTCCTACACACCCTCACAGAGACCATTTAAAGGATGCTGCTGGTTTCATTGCCATAAAGGCTCCTGGACACTCAAAACCACTGAGCTGCAAGTTCTTCATTTCTCAAATTCAGCCTGCCAAATTTCTTCTTGATGTGCATTGCAAAGTCAATGCCCACTTGCCCACAGGTACTTCCCAGGCCTCCTCAGTTCCACCAGACCCAGCCAYGCTGCAGGAGAAGGTACCTAAGGGCCAGGGACAGGCTGTCCCCCAAAACTCTGCAGAAGGTTTTGCTCTGACAATGCTGCTGACACTGGGGCACTTTCAGATGGCAGCTCTGGGTATCCACAGTGCCTCAGCAAGTCAGCTTATAGCTGCTTGTTTGAGTTTTACTTGCAACAATTGTTGGAGAAGGGAGAATGGCTTAAGGGGATTGACTGTGGTTCTAGCAGAGGCAATCATATAATCATCATCTGAAAAGGGGGAGAAATGAGATGGGACCTGATCCAAAGCCGTTCCTGTTACTTCAGTGAGAACAAGTTACTCCCTGAATAACAATTGGGGATACAGAGTGACATTCTAGAGAAATTTCTTGAAAAGAAGACAAATTTTAATTTCAGAGGTTTTCTTCCACATAAAGTTGTCTTTTTTGAAACTTCTTTCCCCAGTCACACCAGAAAAATATTCAATCATTGCATAACGTGATTTCAATTCAAATACAGATCTAAAAGTTCAAGTATAAAATTACATACTTGGCCTTTTCACATTAATTAATCCAAATGAATAGAGTAACATACTGGATTTCACTGGAGAACATCTTTGTGCTAGTGAGAACAGTTAATTAGAGCTGGCACAAACACCTTCCATATTCAGCATGAATAATAATATTCCCAGAGCAAATTTTCTCAGCAAACTTACAGAAACAGCTGATTCTTGATTCTTCAGCCCACCCATTTCTTCTAAGATTTTAATAAGAGAGGAGTTAAAGTGCTGGTAATTGCTGAGCAGCCCCTGTGCTCTTCCTGCCCATCCTCTGACATGATCTGCCAACACAAGAGGTGCCCGAGCCTGTACATCATTCCCAGTGCCASGGCTGCTTTGTCCATTGTGTCACCTCTGCAGCATCTTCCTGCTGCCTCCAGCTGCACATAAATCACAGCCAGTGACAGACAGGCTCAGGGCAGGGGCTGGGGCTCTGGGATGTGCTGCACCACTCTGGATCTTCCCCTGAACTGGGGCCTGTGGCACCTTGCTGGGAAAGCTCTGCCCCATAAGACCCATCTGTGAGCTGTGAGGACCCATGGAAAAGGGAAAAATATACTAAAGGAGACTATGGGGATAGGCAGAGTCTCAGTGATAGCTGAAAAYGCTGTGGAGGTAACTCCAACCTAAATCAAGAGATTTTTCTTTCCTACAATAGAGACCAAAAGCAGCAGCCACACAGGGACACCCATTTCTGCTCACACTCACCCCCTTACCTGCAGACACAGCAAGTCAGAGCAGCTGTGCTCCAGAGGAAGCACCTTCAGTCCTCAGGCACAGAAGCACATCAAGGGGTCGTATACCCCAGAGAAGCAACAGTGTCACCCTGTCCTGAAGTCAGTCTTGTGTTAAATATGCTAGTCATTAAAAATACCTGACACACACGGGTGTTCACAGTGTCTAATTTAAGAGACTCGGGTATGCAGGAACTCCTAAACTGAGAAATTAAAGACATCCTCTAGAGGTGTCCTTACTCTCCAGGAACAAAGACTCCTAAATTAAGTATGACAAGCTGGATGGTCCAAACACTGCTTCAAGCTCCAGTTCCCTCTTCAGTCTCACTGGGCCCTTTTGGCAAGTAAGGCTGGACATGGATTTGTAGACATTCTGGTCAACATGAGTGATTCTTTTAACACAAAATGAACAGTGTTTTATTTATTTACACGCTCCTTTATCATTTTAGTTCAGCATTTTTAGATAAAAATTGTTTCAAAACAATGAATAATAGTTTAATTACTAAAATATTAAAACAAATGCTTCAGCTTAACATCTGGAAGTTTAGCTGTTTTGGCCCTTTTTTATGCTATATTTTTTTTTAGCTGAAAATAGCTCAACCCATATGTGTTAGAGATTCTGTCCCCTCACACTCTGCCTTTTTGTTCATTTAATCCAGAAAGCATTCCCTCCGACAGAGCTGCAGCACCTCAATGATTTCACTGGGACATCAGAAACTGCACTTGCCAAAAGAGCAAGAAACAGGCATTTACCTGAGACCTGGGAAGCTATTTTTGTTGATYGCATGGCTGTCCAAACATGCCTTTTTTTCTCTGGGAAGCTGTGACAGCATCCWCAATACTGGCTTTTATAACATTCCAGGTGGAATTCAGAATGACAGCAGCAAAATGCTTTGGGAACAATTTGTACATCCTCAGGCACGTACATAAGTATTTACAGGAGAGAGAACAGCCTTTCATTAGCTTGGCATCAACATCATCTATCAGAGAGATGTTCACGTTGGGATGAAGTCAATTCCCAGCAAGGACAATGGAAGTTGCTGCCTGTCCAGATGCACGTGTGACACAAGAACAGGATGGAGTCATTCCCTCCCCACCAAAAATGGGCTYCCCATCATGCTGGTGGAAAACCAGATCCTTTATTCTCCTTTCTAGAGCACCTACGTGGTCCATCACAGCTTGAACACTCCCTGTCCCAAGACTGCAGAGATCCCAACATTATGGGATGGRATTGGACTGCAAATGTACCTGTAGAGAACATGTAGCAAATAGAGGATTCATTTATGTTTTAGAGGAAACACTGAGGTACTYCCCCTCAACTACTAAGTTAATAGGTTTCCAGCACTTTTTCTATTTAAAAAAACCCGAGCTTGGAAGTGGATGCTCCTAGAGTTAAGACCAACTTTGACTTGCTGTGCACTGTATGGCAGAACTAAACAACTGCCTGAGCCAGRCTGCAATATGCAAGTATTAGAAAGTAAATTATATTAGATGCCARCCATTATCACAGTGACCCATATTTTAGGGTTTCAACTGCATCGCTGCCAATCTTCCTAAAGCAGATTTTATTGCCAAGCTTTTATACGTGCTACTGTTCATCAAATAAAGCAGCCTTCTGCCACAGTGTGAGCAAGATTAGGAAGCAGAACTGGCTTATTTTAAGTTCTTCTAAGAGCACGGGGCAACAAATATAACCTCAGGAAATGAAAAACCAAACCAAGAGGGAAATTTTGAAAATGCAAAGTTTCATAACACAAGCTGGTTTTCTTTGTAGTGGACAAGTCTCAGGTGGCTGACTTGCTTGGTAACTATATTTACTGGAACGCATCAATCACATCCTTAGTATCAGCATTTCAGCCTTTGAAAGGCATGGCTGAAAGGTTGAGCTTTCCCACAGGGTGGTGCAGAGTTGCTTCCTCAGCCCAGAGCTGATGAAAAGAGAGCAGTCAGGCAGAGTTGGCCGGGTCAGCCCAGAAGAGCCTTCAGCAAACACAGTTACTGTAAGATGCAGCTCCCTTCAGAACCCCAATGATGCAAAGAATACTCATATGCTGAAGAGTTAAATGCAAAATGCAGCAAAAACGGCTACGACAAGCTTAACATGAACTTCCTCCCTGATTGACCAGAGACTAATTGTGGAAAGAGGAACTGTCAAGTTCAGGAAAAACATTCTGACACTTCCCTASCAGAAGGATGAAATGGGGAGAGAAAGCCTGGGAGGGCACTAAGGSACCCCCATTGCTGTGTGCAGTGAGGAAAGGAAAAACCCCAAAGGCAGGCCCTGCAGAGCCAGCCAGAAGGCAGCTGTAGGCTTAGGTCACACTGGACACATTGCTATGTAGAAATCCAGCAGCTGGAGAAGCAAGGCTGAGCACGAAGAGCCAATGCCTACTAGTCACCCAAGCAGCAGAGGTATCTGGCTTCCTCACAGACCTCAGCTGGGCAACTTCCCCACACAGGCTGCCCTCGGTCTCTTGGGGATGTGCAAGGAGAGGGGAAGAGCTCCACAGAGCCTGCAGGCATGGGCAGCTCCCTGGCAGGCCAGCCACATCCCCATGCAGCTCTCCCATCTCCAGCATCCTCCCACTGCCCAGCTCCACCATCCCACTGGGCTGGACCCTCCAGCTGCTGCCTCCCACGAACAACAGCTTGATGGAGAGCATGTGCTTCTCATTCCAAACAAACACACACTTTACATATCAGAGGTAAAAGAGTTTATTATCCCATGGGTTTTTCCTAAGAAGTAAGATTCCTACCAGACAAAATATACAAAGCATCTTATGTTTTCTTTCTAGACRACTGCATTCTCATCCTATGAAACAGAGACCACATTAGTTCACCTTAAAGAACCAAGGTTTGTCCTTACAGCTGCGGGATTGCACAGAGTTAGCATATCCAATGACCAGTTAAATCATGCAGAACCAGAGGGGAGGGGAAGAGGCCTTTACGCTCACCTGAGTGCAGGCTTAGGCTTCTGGAAATGAAGAGAAACACAGGGCTTAAATTTACCAGTTGCTTCCATTAAATGAACCAATTCTCTGACCCACTTCTTGTCATCCTCTTGGCAATTAAAGGCTGGGGCTAGCAGCAAGTTATTGCTGGGAAAACACAATGCTAGAAAAGTAAACAGCCATCTGGCAGCGGGAAACTTTCCATATCAACCTGCATGAAGTGCATATAATTCTTCCTTTAACATCAGGTTTAAAGCAGAATGAAACAAAAGTGTCCTCCTCTACTTGATAGAACTTAATGTTTATAGTTGACTGTATTTATATAAAAAAATAAATACTCAGCCTCTAAGGACATACTAATTCCTACTGCATTATATGACCACTCTGAGATCCTGTTTTGTTTTCACATAATTAACTCAKAGTATTAACACTCAAAAATTTAAAATATATTCTTTCTGGGTTTTGATTCTGCTGAGTTAATGATTGTACTTGCATTTACTTTATCTTTCCTCTTCCAAAACAACAAGCTCATTTCAACAGATGGTGAACAAGTCCAGATTTGCTGGAAACCAATTAACAAGAATGTGCCAAGTTGAAACTCACCCCATTCTTTCAAGCCAAAAAACTGCCTGCATTTCAAGAACCTAATTAGTTTTAACCGTATTTATGGAACAGAGGGAAGAATATTTAATTACTCTGCAATTCTTTTGCCTGATGATCAATAGAAATTCAGTTKTGTTCACACAATTTCTCTGCAGTATATTGATCAGCTGAATCTTGCCTTTTATCAGCACCTGTTCTACAATGGTGCCTGCAGATAACGTGATACACAGCTGGATTACAGTGATTACTATCAAAACAGATTTCACTGRAGGAGTTACACAAGAATACATACTGTTAAAAGGTATGAAAAATCTGCTTTTTCACTTGCCAGTAACTACCAGCTCTGCTGCCCTTGGTGTGCAGGCATGGTRCCCCATCCACGCACAGTTCAGGAACACACATCCATGTGAGCACAACTCATCCTCCCAAGCAAGCAGAGCTGGCCAGGACAGACACGGGGTTCCACCTGCAGCCACAGCCTGCAGATGGTCCATCAGTGGGGCTTTAGAGCCCTGCATCAAAAATACACCTCTGTTTACTCAGGCAAGGTAACGGCAGATCTGCCCAGGATCCACAACAGTGCAACTGTGTGCTAGAGAAAGAACTACAGAGCCATGTACTTCACCCTCTGCTTGGTGGCTAGAGAGCTGGGACATGCTGTGTCACTCATGTCATCCTCTGCCCATCTCACTGCCCCTTGTCCTGTCCTCTTGCCCCCCTGGACACCCCCCAGGACCCCCTGCACTCTCAGCTGAGCCACGTTCTGGAGGAGCAGGTCACAAAAMCAGCACACAATGGTTGCTCTTAGTGTTTGAAAATCTCATCTTCAGTGGGACAACACACAGCAAAATGGGACACCACAGCGTGTTTTGGGCAGAAATCTTCTCTCTGCTGAGCTTTCCAAATCACTCTGTCTGCAGCTCCACAACTCTTCCTTTCCTAAGTGCACCTGATTTAGGTCCTTACATCAGCACCAAAATGGAAATCCTCCTCTTGTGCATACACCCTCTGTCCCAATGCCAAGGCAGCCCCAGAGCAATATCCSAGCCTGAAATTGCTTAGCCAGGAAAAGAGCACCTATTTCCAGCATTCCTATTTCTCAGCCATCCCTTCTACCCAAACCTACTCCCAAAAAGAGATTTCCATTCTGTGGTGTGGAAGAAGCTGCACCTACCCTCAGGTTATCTTTGACCACTGTGTAAATTTAAGCCCAGCAGATGTCTTGGGTAGGTAGCAGGGAACAAGAGGCCATAAAGGACCCCAGAGGTTAGAGCTGCACAAGCCAGGGGGAGTATAAAAAGTAGCCAGATTACCATGTCTAAAGAGAGGGCTGAGAGCATGTGTGAGCATGTGTGCAAGCAAAGCCGAGGAAGGTTACATCTGGAGAGTGGCTTCATGACTTTTGGCAGATAACAGTTTCGACCACAAAAGTATTTTCAAAGTGACGAATACGATGACAGTTTCCAGCCTCACGTCGACTGATACCTAGAAGTGATTTAAAGAGAGGAGAGAAGTGAATCAACAAATGATGATCTGAAAGAACTGAAGCAAGGAAGGTGAGATGCAACTTCTGGACACTGAAATACAGGAACAACACAGCCCATAGGGAAAGCAGCATTATCTGGTTTTAGGAAGAATAGCCAGCTTTTCTCGGATATAGTCCTGCAGTAAGAGCTGCCATGGGCTGAAGGAGTCACCTGGAAACAGCTGGTTTCAGCTGATAGCATCTCGGTGTAATCTCAGAGACCAGAAAGTCTCCAAGAAACCAGCAGAAGTCACAGGCTGGTACAAAGCAGAGTCCTGTATGCAACCAAGAAGTGCTTAAAATAGCTACCTCCTCTCATGCTATTTGTAACTCTGCGTGCCTTATCCTGCTACGGCCCCAGCCTCAGGTAATGCTTCCCCATGCCCCTAAACCACAGCTCTGCCACGCAGTTCTATAGGCAGCTCCCTCCCTTTATAGCAAATCCATGGTGCCCCAATGACAAGCAGGACCATGCCAGGCTCCATGGGAGCAGCAGCCAGTGCGTGCCAGCAGCTCCTCCATGACAGTGCAGCTCCCACTGGGAAAGCACCATCAGCAACAGCCACGGTGACCTCTGCACCCTGCAGCTTCCCTAGAGATCCAAACCCAACTGACTATAGTCCATGTTTCAGGTGAGCTTTTAAGTACACTTTAAAGGCAAATACTCACATTAAAGAGTTTTTTGCAGCAATATTACCGTTTGTATATAAGATACATATTGCTGATTTCCATAAAATCATTTTTACACAGTCCAATGTTCCCTCYTCACAACATTTTCCATACTATTAGAAACTTAATTAATTAAAGGCAATTTGCAGATCTAATCTTCTCTGAATAGCTGCCACTGAATCGGGTGCCTTCATTAAGGAAATTTTCCAAACRGTTCCCAACAGCACTGCTATTAGTTCAGCCCCAGGAGCCCACGTGTAAATGAATTGCTGGCTTCTGCAACCATTTCTGCAAAGTTTCTATCAGGCTGATGGATGGCAGAAACACAGCAGTCAGCACCCATTTGCAGCAGCAKCATCCCAAAGTTGGGTTTAGATTAATTGGATGGGAAACACCTCAAAGGAAACCCCCCCAGGGAAACCCCACTCTGGCCATGAAGAAGCCAGCATGGCTGAAGCAGGCAAAGTTGGGCTGTGGTGTGGGGCGGGGCAGGGAAGGGAAGGGAAGGGAAGGGAAGGGAAGGGAAGGGAAGGGAAGGGAAGGGAAGGGAAGGGCTCTCACGTCTGCGGGCACTGCGCCGCCGCAGCCGGTACGTCTCCTTGCCGCTGCACAGGCGGTAGATGAAGGAGCCCAGCTGCTCCATGTCACTGACGTGCTCCGTGGCGATCATCTCCTCCTGGATGATGTATGTCTGGGGCAGGTATGTCCCTTTCTGAAACGACACAGTTTGCACCAAAATCAGGCACTAACACTGCCATGATCTCCTCTCCAAACGCAACTGTTTCACACAGAGCACCATGGACAAYCACACTGCAGAAAATTCATTCACTGTTGGAAGGCTCAAGCTCCATTTACTGAGGCCAATTATCGTAACACCCCTGTCCTTGCAGAACACTGTCCATGCTACTAGCACAGGGCACACAGAACAGATTAGATCCAAAAATGGAACGTTCACGTAGGGGATGAAGTCAGTGTAGGCTCAACCCTGTTATAAACTGACCCAAATTTTACAGCAGGATGCCCAAAACTGTAATTCTGAGAGTACAACAAACCCATCTGGAGAGGAATAAAAGCTTAACCRAAATTCCAGGAACTTCACTGAAATGTGCATTTTACATTTACTTCAAAAGGCACAACCCAAAACCACCAGCCCTGCTGAGATTCCAACATTCCCCTCTCCTCTCTGTTCCATTCAGCACAGCCACAACAATGTCCTGCCCTTACTGCCCACAGGAATGGGGACTACAAATGGGCCACGGGCACCATATTCAGGGGAGAAGGGAGGTCTCTGCATCCCTTCATTGCCCTAGGAATGTATGGGACAGTGACACCCTGCTGTTGGGCTAGAGGCCACTGTGAAGACCACAGTGATGAGTGGGGTGTCATAGCAGAAAGCCACTGGGGAGGAAAAATTGGGGTATCTAAGGGTACCCCAGGGATGGAGGACACATTATTCCCTGCAGGAAAGAGATCAGCTCAGCGCTGGAGGCTCTGCAAACTCATTTCCAGATGGTATGGGCATCTGGCATGTCTGGGCATCGCTGTGGCAACAAACAGTGGTGCTACAAGTGAGGCTTGTGTTGGGGGGCACTTGTGAGTAGATGCCAACTAGGTCATGAMGCAAAGAATCACCTCTGGTCCCTTTTCCTTACGAGAGTCAAAGAAATAAAGAAACTGTCAGACCCTGAGGCCAAGGTAAGTACAATCAAGGTGAAAAGCAAGCAACAGCAGCACCATTTCAAATATCACTTCTTTTGTTTTCCACAACTGGTTATCTCCACAGAGACAATACCTGGTAACACTCTATCTTAACTCAGTGCTGTGCTGCTGGGCTGGCACAGCCAGGTGGATCAATAAGGCTGTCCTCTAACGCTGCAGGATCAGACCATTAGTGCCAGTATGTACTGCACTAACACAACACTTCTGCAAGAAATTCCATTATTGATTCTCGGGAGGAATGCGGGGGAGGCCATGAGGTACGTGCAGGGCTGTCACAGCAGCAGCCAGGCTGGGGCTCAGATCTGGCACACCTTGGCCTGGCGAGAGGGCTTAGAGAGACAGACAAGGGCACACAATCCACTTTCTTCACTGTCTCAGATTTAARCAGCTGTGGCAGGTGAAGGGGGAATCACCACTCCTCCAGTGCAGGTCTGTGCAGCAAGGACAACACCTTCAAGTCTCTGCCAAAAACTTCCAGAAAGCCAAAGCTYTGAGCATCTTGCATTCTGCAAGAGATGTGGATCGTCCATCATTTAACTGGGTCACCTCCAACTTCCTGCTGCTGCACGGGGGGAGCATCCCTCCCTCCTTTTATGTCAGACACTGATGCAGGGCTGTTCAGTGAACTGCCACCTGTACAGAATAAAGCCTGAAAGAAGCGGGCGCAGGGCACATGGCAGTCACTCTGCAAAGGGGCACCCAGGCACCAGGCTGGCCAGGAAAAAAGAGCAAAGGGGGCTCACCAGCTGCCTGTGCTGCCCCAGTCTGCTGGACTGCAATTTGATTTTAGAAACAGGAGTGCAGTCACTGAACTGCTCCAAAAGGAAACTTTCCTCTGGAAATTAGACTCATTCAAGTAGGGACTTGACTGCATTCAGAGATGCAGAGAAGGCAAAACTCTCCAAGTCCAAGAACCAACAAAGCTCACCCATCCAGACAGGAGCACTTGTGAGCAGCAGGGTAAGTCATAATGTCATAAAGATCTTCCCTGCAGCAGGAAGATACCTGAGCTTTCTGCCTGACCAGCAAGGTCCCACGTGTGGCCATGATGATCACAGGCTCACAGGGTAATTCAGCTGGGGAGGGACTTCAGGGCTTTGTCCCATCTGGTTTTGAAARCCTTCAAGGATTTCAAGAAGGCAGCACAACCTCCCTGGGCACCCTGTTCCACTGCTTCACTGCCCTTGTGATGAAAAATTTTTCTGAGCCCAAAACCAAGCCAACCATTTTAAAACAATGTCTCTAAGGTGCATGTTAAAACCTCCACAGACAGATTGGACTGTACTGGACACCCATCTCAGCAATCAGGAAGTTATTTAAACCCACAACTGCTCTGGGCTCTTCAAGCACATAAGACCGCCTTAATTGTATTGTTATCCCCTTTTAAAATTCAGTGACAATGCATCATTTTCACTGACCGTGAGTTTATATCTGTTATTTTAGGATGTGAGCAGCATTCCCAATCTCTCAGTTGTTTTCTCTCAGCTTGTGCAATCCTGCCTTTTCCATCTCCCTCTGCCCCAGGGACTGGTCACCKGCCACRGTCAGAAGCTGTGACAGGTCTGGAGCGAGTTGTAAGTAAAAGTGYGCTGTACCCCAGCGGGGTTCCCAGCACATTTGCCAAACAGTCACAGTGCAATGAAATTGGGAGGACTGCTAGGAAACAACTGGGAGTTTGACAGGTCCTGGAGATCAGGCATCTCTCCAGGCATGACTGCTTGCCTCTGAGCTTAAGCCCTGCAAAGTTCACCACACTGCATATAACAGCAAGTGAGCAAAGGCAATTTAAGAATATGAATTAGATTGTCTTTTTTCCCCCTTCCTTTTAAACACACCCTCACAGGAGTGATAAAAGACCCAGGCTCAGTGCCTTGATTCACCTGCAGAAGACTGAGACAGATATGTACCTTCTGCAGTCTGAAAAATCCTGTGCCTTTTTTCCTGCTGTGAAGATTAAATAGTATTCTATTTTAAGATGGCTGCTTTCAGCAGCACGGGCTTCTGAAGTGAACAAAATCGCTGGTACTAAACCCAATTAATGCTGGCTGTGAGCACAACTGCATGAGCCCAAGCCTGGTGCTGCAGCACAGCAGGGAGGGCAGCACAGATCCCCTCCAAAAGGGTGAATGCTGAAGGCCTTTCCTCCCCAGGGGGCACACGGTGATAACCACAGCAAGAAGGAAAACAGGGAATTTCTTCTTTTTACCCTTGATTTGTACAATCAGTAAACACSGGAGGGAAGGAATCTGCTGCTCCTCTGTGTCTCCCTGGTCAGGCTGATCATCATGCCAGCGTTACTGTGCTTTCTGCAAAATCAGTATCTCAGCTAAACCTGCTGAAGCCTTCACTCCACACAAAGACTCAGGGCCAAGGTTTACCTCCCCAGACAMAGCAGTTTTGATTTCCCAGGAGCTGCCAGCTGGCACCCAGGAGCCAGCTCAAGGAAAGCAAGCAGAACAAGCAGGACAGCAGCTGTACCTTCACATTAACCAGCAGCTCCCACAGGTTGCGAGGAGGCATCACGATGGTGGTGTTCAGCTCGATGACGTAGCACTTATCCAGCGTGATGTCATGATACGCYGTCAGACCCTGTGGACCAAGCACAGAAACAACACAACTGAACCCTCTGCAGTGGAATGTGACTGTGAAAATGGGTGAAAAGAGGCAATTSAGGGAAGATGGGAAACTGCTTTAGACAAACCTCCCTACCAAGCAAATAGAATGGGCTGGAGAAACAGAGAGGGCAAGAAAACAACTCAGTAGTAAGAGCATCATAGATTTATGTGACAACAGTGACAATAGTGACAGTGCTAGGCCATGAACACTGAGCTGGTGCACACAGCTCAGCCCCATGCCATGTCCCCAAAGGCCCCAGGGGCTCCTTACTCGCTGGAAATCGTGGATGATGTCCGCAGGGTCACTCCCTCCGAACTGGGGCACCGGGACATTGATTTGCTCGTAGTTCTCYTCAATGTAGATCTTGACATCTTCGTGCAGCTCCAGCTGCCCTTTGAAGGGCGAGTAGAGCGAGTCTTCGTACAGGACACCGCAGTGGAACACGCTCTCACGGGGCAGCTGTGGGGACACACCCAGGCAGAGGTACAGCACACACACCCCACTGACAGCTACAGCAAACACGGCAAGGAAGGTACCCACACCAGTGAAACATTCATCAAACAGACACTTGAGTATATTTCAAGATCAATCTTTTAACCAGAAAACRTTCTTGATGAACCTAGTGCAAAATACCCTTGTGAAATTACCATGTCTCACTCCATGCTAGCCAGGTCCAAAGGGAATAAAGAATTCCCTGTGGGATTTCACAAGGAGTAATTCAGAAAAAAAATTGACTGCCTGCAAGCTCTCAAATTTCCTAACCAGGCTGTTTACATCCCTCCACAGTCATGGCCTCCAATACCTGCATTTTTCTACAGGAGGCATAGAAGCTTGGACTGAGCAGAACATAATTTCTAGAGGCACTTGCAGCTTGGATATGGCAAATGCAGCACAACAAAGTGGATTTGCCTCACAGCAAAACAGGAGCTGCTGCTCTTTGAGCAGCCTGGAAGGTGATCCTGCTCACAGAAGRGCAGTTGGAAYGAGATGATCTTTGAGGCTGCTTCCAGCCCAAGCCATTCTATGACTCTGTGATTTCAGGTGTAAATGAGAGCAGGTARTAAAGCACTGATGATTCTTGAAACAAAAACTGCAAATTAATTTGACAGCAAAGAAATTTATGGAGAAAAGGAGCACATAAAAAGACTCTACTGCTGAGTGGATAAGTGCTGGCTGCAGAGATGAGGGCGGTAGCAGTCCTGGGAGAACTCATTCACTAATAGCTGCTCCACAGCACAACAAGGGCTCTGGTGCAAACCAGTGCTCTGGGGTTTCTTGGCTAAACACTCAGCAAGCCAAAGTTCAGCAGTTTCCTCCTCAAAAAGCAGCTCTGCCCTGTCTCATTCCCTGTGCTCTGACCCTCCACAGTGCTGCCAGCCCAGTGCCTTGGCCAGGCCAGGCTTTGCAAAGACTACATGGAAGAAAAGGTGCTGAATTTAATGGAGGTTGAGCACTCACTTTCTGTATCATCTCCCACTTACTTTTTAACTTCTCTGCTTGCTTTATTAATAGCAGCACCTATTTTTGTTACACCTACAGAGYTTTTCTGTGCTAGAGCCTACAAAACCTACTGCAAAAAGCTGTTCCCTTGCCTGTATCCCCCTGTTCTCTTCAGGCTTGTTCTCCCCTCACAAGCCACACTTTCAGACTACCCTACCCTGAACAGCAGTGRTGTGGGGTTTAAAAGGCAGAACTGGCAGGATATTTTTA